TAATTTGTAGTTCCGCCTGACATTTTAGTTGTACATATCATAATACTGTTTGCTTTTACTGCAATAAAATGCACATATTTGTATTCAGCAATGTCTCACGAGTACAACAGTATCCCCCATTAACAGGTTTTACGGTGTTTTGGAAAGTTACAGGGTAAAATATAGCACATTTCATTTTTCAGTTTTTTTCACATTGAAATTTGCCAGCTTGGTTACGTTACCTTTGAGACTGTATGGTAGCCCAGGAATGAGAATTACCCCCATGATGGCATAACATTTGCAAAAGTAGACAGCTCAAGGTATTGCAGGTGGGGTATGTCTAGTCTTTTTTAGTAGCCACTTAGTTACAAACACTGGCCAAAGTTAGTGTTCATATTTGTTTTTGTGTGAAAAAAGCAAAAAACTAATATTTGGCCAGTATTTGTGACTAAGTGGATACTAAAAAAAAGGCTGGACATACCCCACTTTCAGTACCTTGGGTTGTCTACTTCTGCAAATGGTATGCCATCATGGGAGTAATTCCTGGGCTACCATACAGTCTCAAAGGCAACATTAACAAACAAATTCTGAGGCAAGCAACCAAACTGGCAAATTTTAATGTGAAAAAAATGAAATGCAAGCCTTATATTTGACTCTCTAACTTTCCAAAACACCATAAAAAACCTGTACATGGGGGGTACTGTTATACTTGGGAGACTTCACTAAACACAAATATTAGTGTTTCAAAACAGTAAAACATATTACAACAATAATATTGTCAGTAAAAGTGCAGTTCGTGAGTGAGAAATGCAAAAAACTTTTATAATATTTGTGTTCAGCGAAGTCTCTTGAATAAAATTGCATGCCCCATGTACAGGTTTTATGGTGCCTTGGAAAGTTCCAGGGCTAAATATAGTGCTTGCAAATTAAGTTTTCTGCACTTTCTGCCTGGGTTGTCAGCCACGTCAATCAAATTTTAATTAATAAAATCACATAATTATGTTAAAAGATTACTTAAATATACACATAGAATTTTAATATATATACATATATATGTATTTACATTTTATGTGTATATGTAATTATTTATGCAATTATATATATACACATATATATATATATTTGCAGTTATTTGTATTTTATATATAGAATGTCATTCTTAGTGTATTTTGTTACCAATATATATATATAAATAACAAAATACAGTTAGAATGAAATTACATATATATATATAATTTATTTTCATTTAAAAAATATATTTTATTTATTTATTTTATTTATTTATTATTGTAATTATACATATATAAATATAAAATATATATATTATATATATCTTATATATATGTAACTTCATTCTAAGTGTATTTTAATACTAATATTTGTACTTATAATAATATTAAAATACACTACGTATGACGTTACATATATATAAGATGTATACATATTATATACATATATATATATATTTTTATATATATATATATATATATATATATATATATACACACATTTAATTTATTTTAACATGTTTAATTATATTTTTTTTACACTACCCACCAGCAGGGGGACTGTCTGACAGCCCAGACAGGCCCCTGCTGGCAGATCCACAGCCAGCTATTGCGGCTATGTGATTTCTCTTTGAGAGCGATCACATGGCCCCTGGGGGCCTGATTTGCCGGTGGAGGGCTTGGGCTGTCAGGCAGTCCTCCCGAAGTGGATCACGGTGGAGGTAAGTACCGCGGAGCTCCTGGGGTAGAAAGCCGTTACGGCGTTCTATGCTGCCGCAACAGCTTTAAAGCCCATTATGATGGGGACGGCATAGAAGGCCATAACGGCTGCTGTCAGTGTGCTATCTGAATTTGTTCCGATACACAGTTGTTGATTTTGTAGTTTACGTAATTTAGGTACAGTTCCAAAGATCATTGTAACAGTTTTGTCAGTGTTTAGGAAGAGTTTGTTATTCGTTATCTGCTTTTCTACCTCTGTGAATTGGTTTTGGAGCACAGCATCAAGCTGCGGTAGGTTGGGTTTACTAGCGTAGATTACAGTGTCTTCTGCATACATGTGTACAGTTGAGGATTTGCAGAGGTTAGGCAGATTATTTATAAATAATGTGAATAGCAGGGGGCCGAGTATGGAAGAGGGAGGGAAGCGCTATCAGAAATGGCCACTAATTGCAATCGGTCTGAAACATACGGTCGAAACCAGGTTAGCGGACCATCACCAATAAATGAGTTTTTAAGTTTTTGCAAAAGAATGCCATGGTCTACTGTATCAAAGGTTTTGGCAAAATCAAGGAAAATAGCTCTGGTTAAGTCTCCTTGTTCCATGCGAATTTGGATGTCATTGCAAACTTTTAAGAGGGCAGTTGAAGAAAGCCTGATTGATCAGGGGTCAGACAATTTAAAAGTTGATAGTATTCACAAAGTTGCGTGTGGGCGCATTTTTCCAAGATTTCTGACAATACTGGGAGCAATTTCACTATGCCTCTGGTTGCAGCTGATGGAGACGATAGGGTCATGACTTAAATTGTTGTGAGGCTGTGAAAAGGATGGGTCAGGATTAACTCGGTGAGGGTTTGGGCATCCACTACAGCCACCACAGAGGTAGAAAAATAAGAAGTGGAAGGGAGGTAAGGGGTGACAGGGAAAGTGGACCAACATTTTTGAATGATTCTATCATATTTAAATTGTAAGTGAAGCGTCTACCGAGGTGAAGAGGTGTCTCCATCCAGCCAAAGGTCCCATATCTTATGGGGCGTCTTTGGGATGTCGTGCATTTGACCTGTTAGCTTATCTAGGCCCAAGCATTCGTGAATTTGTTTGCTTATCGTTTGGGTAGAGGGGATTTTTGGAGTGGCCCAACGTTCACCATTGGCTCTGCGAGTAGCTAAAGCTATACTGGCTGCAAGTTTGTTTTCTTTTCTTGTGAAGTGGTCAGTGGGCTTTGATGTAAAAATAAGGCCCATCAGTGTGATGTGTGTGGTGGACACATAAGATATTTACCTAATAGTGGTTTCATGATAAATTCTTGAAGGGGACTGTGTCTGGGAAATGACCGATTATATTTTGTTGGTATCTGGAAAATACCTTGAAATGGTAGAGCAATAAAGACATGTTTTTTCTGGTTTGTAAACCAAATAGTATGAAGCTATTTGCAACCGGTATCTGGTCCAAAGACAAGTGTCCTTTAATACCTGGGCCTTATCAGAGAAGCTCCCAGAGAGAGCCTGAGAACTACACTGTACTTGCATTGTATCTTGTAAGTTCAATGAAGAGTAATTCACTTAAAGTTTGGAAGTGATTTTAGATGCTATTTAATTTTGAAGCGTTATGTATGAAGTATAGTTAGACTCAAACTAATTGTGTGGATTCACAGAGATAATTTTGCCTGGTTACAAAGAGATCAGTAGCATCTGTAAACAAATATATAGCACTGTACATTTTCAGCCAGATTTGGAATACACAAATGAACCCTCATATCTTCACCCCCCTCTTGCCCCTCCTCAGAAGGGCTGGTGTGGAAACTGGGATGAACAAAAATGAAAAAATGAAAATAATATAACAATAATAAAATACTATCTGGTGAAACCTGAGAACATTTGTAATCCAGTTTGATGGCCAAATCGAATTTGTAGTGTATTTCCATTTTCCTTATCAAAGCTCTCTTGGGACAGAAATACTGGTATTGCACTAGTACAGTGAGCATTAGAATTTTATGTTATTTTTCTTCTTTTTATTTTTATCTGTTTATTGATATATGTAAAATTGTTTGTAACATACTTTTGTATAGACAATTTTTTGGTCATTAAGTTCTGTTTTTGTCTGGTAGTTTGATTGATATTTTTGTTAAATTGTGTTTTGTGGATTTTAAATCAGATTTGGTGTGTTAACCAAAACCCATATATAAATTGTGGTATTAGTGGCAGCTTCTGTAGGTTTGGGTGGTGTTAACCAGGGCCGGACTGGGAAAAAAATTAGGCCCGGGCATTTTTCAATTAGAGCGGCCCCCCAAGAAGGGGGCGGGGCCAGAGAGGGTGTGTCTTGTCATCACTAATGACAAGCATGCCCCCTCTCAAAGTGAGCATGTTGGTTCAATGCCCAGAGCCCTGCTGAAGAGCTCTGGCATTAGAAAAAGGCCCTGTATTTGTTCTGCGCAGCGCAAGCAAATGTAATAACATGCTTGCACTGTGTTTGCTTTTAAATTGTCTCCGGTGTCTCCACAAGTGGGATACCAGAGGACAAAAGGGCCAGGAAAGTGTATGGTGCATGTGTTTGGAGCCTGCTTGTGGGATTGCCTGTGTGTAGAGTGTGGTGTGGTATTGTGTAAATAGGTCGATTTTGTGGTGTAATATGTGTGGCTAGGGGCTGTAGAGAGTGCGTGTATAGGGGCATAGTGTTATAGGGGATGTAGCGAGTGTGTGCATATGGGCAGTAGTGTGTGTGTATAGGTGGCGTAGTGTGTGTAGGGGTTGTAGAGAGGGTGTGTTTAGAGAATGTTCTATGTGTTTGCTTACAAGGAATGTAGTGTGTGTGTAGGTGGTGCACTGTGTGTGTGTAAGAGATCTAGCGTGTAAAGGACCCAGAGTGTGTATAGAAGATTGTGTGTGTGTGTGTGTGTAGAGGATTAAGAGTGCATATAGGGTAAGGGATCTAGCGTGTATCTGGAGCGTAATGTGTGTAGTGGTGCAGTGTGAGGGGTGCTGTAGTGTGTGTGTATATATATATGTTTGGATGTATTGTATGTGTGAGGTGCGCAGTGTGTTTGTGTAAGAGGGGTGCTGTGTGTTAGGGTGTTTTTATCTGCCGTCACATTCTAGGTTTCTAATTTTCTTTGTCTGTTAACTCACTGAGGGTTATTTTATATAATATATATAATATATATATATATATATATATATGTATATGTGTCTCTGGGTGTGCTGTGTGTGTATCTGGGGTGCTGTGTGTGTCTGGGGGTGCTGTGTCTCTGGGGGTGCTGTGTGTCTGGGGTGCTGTGTGTGTTTGGGGGTGCTGTGTGTGTCTGGGTGCGCTGTGTGTGTCTGGGGTGCTGTGTGTGTGTCTGGGGGTGCTGTGTGTGTCTGGGGTGCTGTGTGTGTATCTGGGGGTGCTGTGTGTGTTTGGGTGCTGTGTGTGTTTGGGTGCTGTGTGTATCTGAGGTGCTGTGTGTGGGTCTGGGGGTGCTGTGTGTGTGTCTGGGGGTGCTGTGTGTGTTTGGGTGCTGTGTGTATCTGAGGTGCTGTGTGTGTGTCTGGGGGTGCTGTGTGTGTGTCTGGGGGTGCTGTGTGTGTGTCTGGGGTGCTGTGTGTGTATCTGGGGGTGCTGTGTGTGTATCTGGGGGTGCTGTGTGTGTTTGGGTGCTGTGTGTATCTCGGGTTGCTGTGTGTGTGTCTGGGGTGCAGTGTGTGTCTGGGGTGCAGTGTGTGTCTGGGGGTGCTGTGTGTGTGTCTGGGGGTGCTGTGTGTGTGTCTGGGGGTGCTGTGTGTGAGGGGGCTGTGTGTGTCTGGGGGTGCTGTTTGGGAATTAATTTTATATATATATATTTTTTTTTATTAATATTTTTTTTTTAAAAGTTATGTCTCCCCCCCCTCCCTTCTTACCTTTAGCCTGGGAGGGGGAGGGAGCCGTTCTGCCTGGGAGGGGGAGCCATGCTGCCTTCCCTGGTGGTCCAGTGGTGAGAGTGAACTCTAACCTGTAGGTTAGAGTTCACTCTCGCGAGATCTGAGCGTTGCCGCGGCAACGCTCAGAATCTCGCAAGAGGACCCGGCGGAGCTGCTTGTTAGAGCTCCGCCGGGTCCTCCCTCCCTCCCTCACCCAGCCGGCGGCCGCATCTCCCTGTCTGTGGGCCGGTGAGGGAGATCTTTGATCTCCCCACCGGCCCATGGAGGCACTATGCAGGGCCGGCGCTCGGGTAGTGCTGGCCCTGCAGGGGCCGGCCGGGGAGATCCCCTGCCGGCCTCGGCCCCACGGCCATCGCGGCCCACCGGGCATTTGCCCGGTGTGCCCGATGGCCAGTCCGGGCCTGCCCAACATCCTGTAGCACAAATGTCAAACCAGATCAACACTTTTTTCTTTCAACATTTTTTTTTTGTAAGGACATGGCCATTGTGTACTTTGCATTGACAAATATAATCCAGCATTGAAATTTAGAAAAGAGCATGTTTATATAGAGATATAGATAGATCGTTGTAATCAAAATCTTTAAACCCCCATTGAAAATCAGGTTTATTGTCAAAATCTAGAGACTTTCAGCTGTTTGCAATGAACAAATCAAACAAAAACAACTGAAATAGCTCAACACAGCGAATGCTTCAAGTGGGTTCCTTAAATTCAGCTGAAAATAAACTGTCATGATAAATGGCATGGTAATGAGTGACACTAATGTTTTAATGAATGCAGTTATATTACAGTCCACGTATTTCAGTTTTCAGTCCTCAAAGGAAGCATATTTGTGAACATGTCATTATGATGACAGTATTTTGAAAAGCCTCCTCCATCCCTTCCTTATCAATAACACTTTCAAGCACCCTACAATTCACCTGTGCTAAATCAGGAGTTCAGTCAACTTATCCTTGATTTTATTTCCAAGCAAAACTATTCAATCTTAAATGGGTAGTCCACTGTATGAAAATATCAACTATCACATCCATGTACTAGTTTGCAAGCAAAGCAAAACAAACTAATACGTTTCTAAGTTTCTACCTTGTGTTTTAAAATAAGAGACGTTTTGCACCTAGTGTAACTGCTTTAGTTTTCTCCTGTCTTTTGCCACAAAACAGAATAAACAAGCTCATTAACACTATATTATTTTAAAAATGGAACATCAACAATACCTTGCATCAAAAACAAACCAATGAAATAATATATGCTTCCATTTTATTTTGTCATCAATTTGTATACAATCTTATATCCAGTGGTGTATTTAGGATTTGTGCTGCCCTAGGCAGGACGGTGCTCGGGCATATCAACCCCCCCAATTTAAATTTTCCCCACCCCATCCTGTCAAAGCCACACTTTGACTGACAGACGCACACATTCACTGACAGACACACACACTCATTGACAGACACACACACTCTCATATACACTGACAAACAATGGCATACACACACTGATAGACGGACATACACTAACTGACTGACGCACGCACTCACTGACAGACGCACTCACTCACTCACTGGCCGACATACGCACTCACTGACAGACACACACACACTCACATTCACTGACATACACTCACATTCACTGACACACACACTCACATTCACTGACACACACACACATTCACTAACAGACACAAACATTTCCCCCACCCACAATTATTATTATTTTTTTAAATTGAAATCCACCCAGCCTCCCTACTTGTGGGGTAGTGGATATTCCACCTGGGGCCCAGTGGGGCTGCTGGGCAGGGAGGCAGCCAGACGTGCAGGCAGGCGGGCGGCAAGGGAGCACTTTCCCCTGAGCTCTCTCTGCTCTCTCACGCGCCGCAGAGTGATGCCGGGAGCCAGAATATGATGTCATATTCTGTCTCCTAGCATTACCGCAGGTCACGCGAGTGAGCTGAGCAGAGAGAGCTCAGGGGAAAGTGCTCCCTCGCCACCTGCCCGGGGGAGCCCAAAGAGTGGCGAGCCGGCCAGCTCTTGGGCTCCCATAAAACAAGGTAAACAAGGTATTTGCCTGGGCATTTGGGGGCGGCGTTTTTTGCCGCCCCCCGGAAATTGCCACCCAACGCAAATGCCTTGTTTGCCTCGCAGTAGACACATCCCTGCTTTTATCTACATAATTACAGACCAAGCATAACACAATGATGCAAATAATTTAAAAAATCATTTCTTTTTGAGTATTTCATTTTCCTCATTGTGCTCATACTGATTATCATACGGGAGATTTTTGTGCATCATTTATTTTCTAATTTCACAAGAAAATATCTCTGGTTAGCTCAAAATAAAAGAAGTATTTCATTTTCCTCATTGTGCTCATACTGATTATCATACGGGAGATTTTTGTGCATCATTTACTTTCTAATTTCACAAGAAAATATCTCTGGTTAGCTCAAAATAAAAGAAGAATTTTCCAAGAATTAATTAGTTTATTCAAAGTTAAGTGACATCTATGCAAGTGATTTAGTGAAATATCAGTATGCCTAGAGCGGCCATATGATTTGCAATATAATAGTTTTGTTTTTATGTTTGTATGTGTCATCCCCACCTGTTAAATACCAGCTAGCATGAGGAGTTAAATTACCCATCTGGGAGTTTTTGGTACTCACAAAACTCATTATTTTTACTGTATCATGGATGAGATATGAACACTGTGAGAAGATCCATTCTAGTGTAACTTTTCTATCGTGAGCTCTAATAAATTGAGATTCAGATATTTTTATAGGCATCTTGTCTACATATATCATGATCAGTGGTTTGACCTCAGGTAACTTTGTAAAATATTGTTAGACTACAAACTTTTTGATTATTTTACAGTCTACTCCAGGGGTCCTCAAACTATGGCCCTCCAGATGTTGCTGAACTACAACTTCCATGATTCTTTGAATTACATAGATAGCCAGAGAATCATGGGAGTTGTAGTTCAGCAACATCTGGAGGGCCACAGTTTGAGGACTCCTGGTCTACTCCTTTCAGTCTGTAGAATCTATAGAGAGACATGGAACATTAGCTACTATTAATAGTTACCACTCATGTAAATTCACAATACTCTACAGCTGCTGCTGCTAAGCTTCAGCTGCTTATAGCTGCTTATTGGGCATACGAAAGGCAATGTGCCTGTATTTAACCATAATAAGAAGTAGCAGAATGTATTTTACCATGAATTAAAACTAAAGACGTGCAGTTTGACCACAGGGAATTGCTGTCCTTCTCATACAACACAATGATAAGTTGAGTGGCGAGTAATAGGAAATGGGTTAATATGTAAAGCTCAGCTGTACATAATCTTCTTTCTGCTTCTATCAGAATATTAGCTTTAGCAAATGAGTAGCCATGCTACACATGTTCTCATGTGGGTGTTGAAGATTTCTGATTCTTTCTAAAAAGTCCTGTTATCCTTTCTTTGACCCCACTAGAGCTGAAGAAATAGAAGAGAGGAGCGAACCCTATACAGAGACTATTAAGAGCAAACATTAGCTGGTAGATTAGGATAAGGTCAACAGTAACTTGATATTGTGTGTAATTAAGCAACAAAAGAATACTGAGGTATACCCTGACTCCAGTCAAGGGCCCATACAGAACAAAAAACCCAATCACCACCAGCAAAAGTAAAATGCTTATCCTTCTACGTTGCCCAGTGGGAACTGAAGGAGAGTTATTCAAAGCTCGTGAAATAAGGTACCAGAAAATGACAAGGAGGATCAATGGGAGTAATCCAAAGATCAAGGAGAAGATCAGATCAAACAAAGCCGCTTGTGGTGCTACTTTGAAGTCCGGGAAGCATAGATTTGCATTGTATGGAGCAATGAGCCTTTCAATTATTGAAATGGAAATAATTATGAGCCATAGAAAAATGCTGACAAAACTGCAGACCCATCGGGAGCAGAACTTATGATACTTCAGTGGACGATTCACTGCCACATATCGTATGACAAATATAAGAACTACAAATGTAGCTCCAATCCTCTGGGAAATTGTTGGAACAACATAAACAATGGAGCAGGCCACTGAGGGTAGCTGTAAGCTGTAGATAAGGTAGGCTATCCCAAAGGGTAACGTCACAGATTCTAGAAGTGCTGCACAAATCAGATTGACCACATAACTGGCAATACTTTCTTTGTTCTTTACTTGAGGCCATATTGCCCACAGAAGCAGAGTGTTGGCCAGCAGCCCCAGTAAGAATACAACACCATAGATGCTGGCAAGGAAAAAGGCAATGTCTGTGTCAATAGTGCTGCTTGATAATAAATTAAACGAATCATCCTCTTCTTGAGAAGTCTGTTCCATTTGGGGTGCTTGTGCCACGTAGTCAAGGTGTGTCTGTATTTAAGAGTAAAATAAGAGCATTAGTTTGCAGAATCTGTGTAATCATGTTCTTTGTCCTTCAATAAACATAGCATAAAAATCATGTATTATGAGCCTACTTCACCCACAGTTGGGTTGTAATTATGCATTACGTGGCCTGCTTCATACAGGGTCCTAATATAATCATTTATTATGTAGCTTGATTCACACTGAATAGTGTTATAATCATGTTTTGCACTTCATGCAACTGCTTGATGTTTTGTAAAGCATGGCCTACGTGCATCACTCAGAATATGTGTATATTTCTGTACTATACTGGTTGCTTACAGTT